CACATTTGCAAGGTCTTTTGGTTCACTTGATGTAATTTCTTAGGGCCTGTTAACTCGGACTCATTTGAAGTATGTAGGTTTGTTTTTACATTTTCTTGGTTTTCATTTTTCTCTTAATCATGTTTATTGTAGACTGTTCTCTTTTGAAGGTCATTTTTTTTTTTCAAAGAAGGAAGATTAAAAAAAAATGGAGTGGAATTAATTTTTGCTTTCTTTCCTACATTTATTAGCAATATCCACCCCATATGTTCACCTTTCAAACATTGTTTTTTCTTGAAAACCCAACTTAATTATTTCTGTGGAACATGTCCTGATTGATTTCATCCTCAGTCAGATATAAATACACCAATTTAATTATTCAGGGGAAAGCTAAAAATACCCATGATCTTTGTAGAGTTGTAAAATTAAAAATAAAATCTTCCTCATAGGGTTATTGAGAGGGTTAAGATATATGGAAAACTTCCTGAATGCAAGGTCGATACTTGGAAATGGGTTACTTAACAAGTAAGTTAGCCTACCCATATACTCAGCATTGGCACCATCAGTTAATAGTTTCTAATGCATTAGGAGATTGGGATATATCCTTTGTGTTTGTTTTGGGTTTTGTATTTTTAGTATTTGGTAGGCACTGTGAGGTGAATCACTTTTACTTACAAAATGGGTTAGATATTTATGTTCATTACGTGAGTAATCCTCAGTTTATGGCTTGCAATCATTGTGCTGTCTGTTAATATTACACAGCTTTTCTGTAGAGTCTTTGATATTTTCTATATCGATAATCATGTCATCTGTGAAGACAAACTACTTTATTCTCTTCTTCCCTCCTTCTTTCTTTTCCTTCCTCCTTTTTCTCTTCCTTTCTTCCTTTTTCTTTCTTCTTTTTCCTTTTTTTCTTCTTTCTCTTTCTTTCTTTTTTCTTTTTCTTTCTCTCCCACTCTTGAGGATCTTAACTCCCCTTCTCTCTTTTCTGCCTTCCCTCCCTCAAACTTAACCTCCCTCCCCATCTTCCTCCTTTCCCTCTCTCTCAGTCTCTCTCTCCCCCTCTCCTCTCCTCCCCTCTTTCTTCCCCTCTCCCTCCTTCCCTTCCTTCTTTTCTTTCTTTTACCTATTGTGCTGACTAGGGCTTCCCGGGTGGTATTAAATAGGAGTGCTGAGATCAGACATCCTTACCTTGTTCCCAAGATTAGGGAATGGTCTTTCACCACTAAGCATGGTGTTAACTTTAGGGATTTTGTAGATGCCTCTATCTTCTACGTTTAGTTTGCTGAGAAGTTTTTAATGAATAGACATTTTTGTCGAATGGTTGTCTTTAAATCTATCATCTTGCTATTTTTGTCTATTTGTCCCATTTGTTCTGTGTCCCCCTTTTACGCCTTTCTTTTGGATTGTGTATTTTTACGATTCCGTATTTTCTCTTTTTTGGCTTACTAATTATACTTCTTTATTTTTTATTTTTATTTTTTAGTTGGTTGCTTTATAGTTCAGAGTATTCATCTTTAACTTATTATGTTCTACCTTCCAGTAGTGTGTGTATGTATTACTTCATGTATATTATATGAACCTTATAACCTTTCATTTCCTCTCTTCTAGGTTCTTTGTAGTGTTGTCATTTATTTTATACTTCTATGTATATTATTAACCCCACAATACATTGTTATTTTTGTTTTAAGCTGTTATCTTTCAAAGAGGTCTTAAAAATAAAAAAACACATTTTGTATTTACACATGTATTTATCATTTTAATGCTCCTTTGATTCCTTTGTGTAGAACCACATTTCTATTTGGTATCATTTTCCATCAGCCTGAAGGACTTTCTTTAACATTTCTTGTACAGGTCTCCTGCTGATGAATTTTTAAAGCTTTTTTCTGTTTGAAAAATAATATTTTGCCTTCACTTTTAAAAAATATTTTTTCTGGATATTGAATTCTAGGTTGAATTTTAGATTTGTTTTTCAGTACTTTCAAGATGTTGTTTCCACTGTCTTCTGGCTTGCATTATTTCTCATGAGAAGTCTTTTGTCATTCCTATCTTTGTTCCTCTGTACTTCATGTGTCTTTCTTTCCTTTGGCTGCTTTTAAGATTTTTTTAAATCACTTATTTTAAGTAATTTTACTATAGTGTGCATTAGTATAGTTTCCTTCATTATTCTTGGTTAGAGTTTTATTGAATTTCTGTTTCTGTTGAATGATTTTTCTCATTACAGATTGTATTTTCTTGATTTTTTTGCATACATGGTAATTGTTTATTGGATGCCAAACATTGTGAACTTAGATACTGAATATTTTTAACCCATTTCCTGTTTTCCTCTAGAATACTTGCCGGAGGCGCTTGCAGCTGCAGTGTTCATCCCAAGATAACTCAGATTACAGTCCTAACTTTACCCCTAAAATTTGCCACAAAATATCTCACTTTTATTATTATTGTTGTATCGCTCTAGTGCATTGATAGTCTTTGGAAACAAATTACATCATTCTATTTTTAGCATTCTGTTTTTAGTAGTGGTATTTCCATTTACAAAATATAATAATTCTCATTTGCTGAAAATGTCAAATCCTACAAAATGCAACATGCCTGCTCAAGATGTTAACATTGTTCTTGAACAGTTGTTAGCCGAAGATTTATTTGATGAATCTGATTTATGTATACATTTCTGTTACATTAGGATTAGAGACAAGTTCTGTTTAGAAATAACTCCAATAACTCAGTTTTCATATTTTATTTTCACATTGAAAACCAGTCAGATTTGCCTCAGCCTCAGAGTGCGTTTATGTAAAATTAATGCTGGCAATGAGCTTCACTTTTTTTTTTTCTAAACGGGAAATAGGTTAAATACCCGTAAGTATTTTTGAATTTTATTCTGAGACACATTTGAGTTATTTGGGAATAGTCTGATATTTTTGAGGCTTTCTTTTAAGCTTTCTCATGTAGAATCAGAACAGCCTTTATTACAGGGCTAATTTTTCTCTATAAAGGCCAATACTTTGGGGTATTCTACCTGATGTCCAGTATATTGCAAGGTTTTTCCACTCTTACTCATAGTCACCTGGTTCTTTGATGTTCTGCCCCTTGAATTCTAGTAGCTCTGGCCTCCCTGAATTCTCAACTCTTTTCTAATTTTTCTTAAAATATCATGACAGGGTAGTATTGAGTAATAAATTTAAAAGCTGTTTATTTTTAAATATGTATCTTTGGCTTCTATTCTCATCTTTTTATGAATATCATAACATTTTCTAAAAGAACATTCATACTGGATCTGATGACATCAGTTCAGTTTTTCTTATACATTAGAGTAGTTTGATAGTGGTTTTAAATATGTTTGGATAATGGTTTTTATTTTTCAAATGTTTTATTTTTATTTTTTATTAAATTTATTGGGGCGACATTGGTTAATAAAATTGTATAGGGTTCAAGAGTGCAATTCTATAATACATTATCTGTGTGTTGCATTGTACATTCATCACCCAAAGTCAAATTTCTTTTCTTCCCCATATATTTGACCCCCTTTACCCTTATCTACCTCCCCACCCTCCCCTCTTACCTTCTGGTAACCACTAAACTATTGTCTCTGTTTATGAGTTTTTGTTTGTTTGTCTTGTTTGTTTGTTGCTTTCAGTTTTATATCCCACGTGTGAGTGAAATCATATGGTTCTCAACTTTTTCTGTCTGACTTATTTTGCTTATCATGATAATCTCGAGATCCATCCATTTGTCGCAAATGGCAGTATTTCATCTTTTCTTATGGCTGAATAATATTACATTGTATATATGTACCACGTCTTCTTTATCCAGTCATCTATTAAAGAGCACTTTGGTCGTTTTCATGTCTTGGCCACCATGAATATTGCTACAGTGAACGCTCAGGTGCATATATCTTTATGGATAAATGTTTTTAAATTTTTGGGGTAGATACCCAGAAGAGGGATTGCTGGGTCATATGGTAATACTATTCCTAATTTTATTAAGCTTAAGAATAATTGAACTATATTAAATACATATTTATCAAGTATAGTATTTAATATAGTTAGATTATTTTTAAGCTTAATAGCTATTGTTCTTAGATGAGGTCAATAAATTTAAGAGTATCAAACAAGATTGCTTTTTCTTGCAGCATTATTCACTACCAAATTTAAAGAATATACAGAATAAAGAATATAAAAATGCCCTAGAAATTTTTTTATTGCTCTACTTTTATTATCTAGTATGTCTGCGAGGCATGTATAGGGCATTTTCATGTTTCTGACTCTTCAAAATATTTCTAAGTTGATTTATTTTTTTGATATGTAGTATAACAAAAATGTGTTTAATATCATTATTCACATCTGTTAACATCTTAATTATTTGGACTTTTTATTTCAACCAAAAATAATTTGTGATGTTGTGATGTTTGGTGTTGATGTTTCTATTCCAGATAGTAGTCTGCTGTAATGTTGTGATGTTTTGCTATGGTTCCTGTCAAATGAAACATTTTCCATTATCATGCTCATCAAGTTTCTTGGATGAAGCTGAAAGCTAAACATTGGCTTAGTAAAAACAAACATACATATTAAATGTTTATTCTCATTTTTTACATTCTGTCTTCAGTATCAATGTTACTTTTTCTCAAAATCAGATTTTATTTTCAATATTGACATTTAAAATTCTTCATTTACAGTAAGATTATCTGATGAATGCTCTTGATATTTTTATTTTTCATATTCTTTTACATTCTCATTGTTTATTTTTTTATCTCCAAAGAGTTTGCAATATAGACAAAATTCATGCTCTCTTTTGGTAAAATAAATAGTCTTTAGTGAATTTTGTTTGTTTTACCATTTGCCAGAATTGTGTATGTCATGTTTTTGAAAATTTCCTACTGGCGTGGTCTTTGGACAGTTAACTGCCACTACCAAGTCAATAACTTTCTAGCCGATATTAGGGAGTGTGGATTTTTCTAGTAACTAGAGATAATCACTTTATTGGGAAAACAGAAATTCAGTACCGTTCCCCTCTCTTTTCTGTAGTATCAGCGATGCAGAATCTGGGACAAGTTGCACGAAGAGCATATCAATGCAGGACGTACAGTTCAGGTAAGGCTATTATAATGTTTTTAGTAAATCAGTATGAAAAAGCCTTAAGAAAATTTGCTAAAATAAATATCTTTGTAGCTGAATTCTTTTATGCATATTTATAACTAATTTCTTAAGAATGAATTTTTAGCAGGAATTACTGAATCAAATGTCATACATATTTTTAAGATTTTGAGTCATATTACCAAAATTTCCTCCAGAAATGATACATCAGCTTACACTCCCACAATCATGGCATTTTCCACAACAAACCTTACAAACATTAGTATTAGCTGTTTCTCAAACTTTTACTAATGAGTTTAAAATATTGCTGCTTTTTTGTTTTAATCTAGAGTTTTTGTTATGTTGCTTTGAAGGGTAAAAGGTTTTTTGATATGGGCGTAGGATAGTAATATTTCTTTTGTAAATTGCCTGTTCATGTCCCTTGCATATATTATATTACGTTGTCTTTTTTTAAGAGTTCCTTATAACTTGAAGATATTGATCTTTCTGTTATATTATTGAATTAATATAGTATTGTAACCATTCATTGCAGTTATTGGCTTTTTGATAAATTTTAAATATTTTAAATTAATTTTTAAAAATATATTTACACAGTTATTTTACAAAAGCCAAAAAAAAAAAAAATTAAAAGGTTTATAGTACCCTATCCTTATCCATCCCTAAGTCCTACTTGGAAGAAACCACTTTTAATTCCTTTGGCCAGATTTCCTAGTTTTTAGTTCTTTATTCCTAAATACCATGTGGAGACTGGTGTTTCTTAATTAATCAGGTTTTGGCATTATCTCTTCACTTCTTGCCATAGTAGGTGGAGATCTAGCTTTTCACTTTGCTCCCCTACTTCCTTTCCCCTTATATAATTACATATGTTATAATTTTTCGTTAATTTAGCAATTAGTTTCTCATTTTGATTATATAGATATTATTTTTTCTTAAGGCAAATAGTGAAATATAGTACAGCCTTTTGCTTTTTTGAAGTTAATGATTGCCTCACTTTTTTTTTTTAGTTGCCTGGCTTTCTGTGTATTTGCAGTGTTTTTCTCCTAAATGCTCCATATCTCTGCCACATGCAATCAGTAATATTTTTCATATGCTCAGGTACATCACTTCCATTCTTTATCCTGAGGACTTCCTCCTGAAGCCCTTTTTCCTCAGTTCCAATCTGGACTCACTTTCTAGATTTGTTGCACAACTGCTGTTCTGGGACTTCCTCAGCTGATCACTGTTTTGGGTCCCTGTTTTCTTTAATATGATATCTTCCTCAGTTTTGGTTTACTCCGTTGTTTTGTTAGAGTACATCTTTCAGTAGTTCTCTCAGAAAGGGTAACTGGGAGGTAAATTTTTAAGTTATTATGTGTCTGAAAAATACTTTCATAAGTGGTAGTGCAGGAATCCAATCTGGAATTATTTTTAATATTAACTCTGGTGGATAGAAAATGGAGTATGTCCCTTAATACCTATACAGTGGGTCTTCATTAGATATTTGTTGAGAAAATCAACGGAGGCCTTTTTCTCTTGATTTTTACTCCTTTTAGTGGTTCAGTTAATATTTTTTAAGCTATGTATATTCCTTTTGGTGCCTTTTAATGTTGAAATAAGTGTGAAGTCATTACATTTTTATCAATACCTTAGTGTAGTAATACCTTAGTAGGGTAATACAAGTAGAGCATAGTCTAGATTTATTTTAATTAAATAATTATAACTGTGGAGCTCTTAATAAATTATATGATGTCTAGAATGTGTTTAAGTTATTTAAATGTTTACCAGTGGACTTGTGCTCTATGTTTGTTAAAGAAATCAGATTAATTATTATGATACCAAATGTTTCTTACGGTACACAATTTGCTCTCAAAATTGCATGTTGTAAAAACACATTAGGAATCCTTAAATCAATATTTTACAAAGGCAAATATATGCATAACCATTCTCCTTTTAATCATTAAACACATAATTAGCCATTTTCAGAATTTTAATTAAGAATAATTACTTTTTATAATTATCAGGATAGATAAGAACATATTTAAACATATAGTTTAATCTTTAGGCTGAAATTTCAGGATATTTATGGAAGGAGAAAAAAGTCATAACTGCTTATTAACTTTAGTTATAAAACTGAAGAGAGGGAAATATGTCACCTTTATTTTACTGAAAGTTTGGCTATAATTTGCAGTTTACTACTTGCATACTGCAAAGCTTATTAATTACTGAGTTGGTATACTTTCTTCTTTTAAAACTTACTTCGTTTATCTAACTTGTGGATATTTCTGCAGATTTTCAAAACCAGGCATAATATCTGCCTTTCTGACCTGATTATTAGAAGGGCAGAAATATTTGAACATCTACTATGTTCGAGATACTATTCTAGATAATAGGGTTATAGCTGTAAGCAAAACAAGAAAACTTGTTCTCATTGAGCTTATATTCTGGGGTGGTAAAGGAGAAAGCAGAGACATAATTTTTTAAGTAGACAAATATATACTATTTAGATGGTTATAAGTACTATGAAGTAAACATTAGGCAGGTTAAAGGAAACAAAGAATCACAGAAGGTGATGAGTGTTCTTTTATATATAGATTGGTTGTATAATATTTCTGATGACATTTGAACAAAGACTTGAAGGAAGTAACATAAACCATGGAGAATAGACTTTTGCAGGCAGAGGGGAAATCAAATGCAAAGACACTGAGGTGAGAGGATGTGTGACATATTCAGGGAGTGGTAAGGAGGTCAGTGTGGCTGGTGTGAGCAAGGAGAGTATAGGAGATAAAGTCGAAGAGATCAGCTGGGACTGATTATGGAAGGCCTTGCAGGATGTGGTGACTTGAAGTTGGGTCGAAAGCACTTGGAAGGTTCTGAGCAGAAGATGACCTGATACTTTAAAAGATCACCTTGACTGTTATGAAAAGGATAGATTCTAAGGGGACAAGGATGAAAGCAAGAATACAAGTTAGATGGCTAATTAATAATGAGCATATTTAAGTGTACTTTTTAGAAAAATGCAAATGCACACATGTACAGTTTTGTGTAGAATGTCCGGTGCCTGATATGTTAGATTTTTATCTCCTTTCTTTGTAGCCCTGGTAAATGATTTTGAACTCACAAGCTTGACAAACAAATAAGGAACTATTATGACATGTCAACCTTACCAGTGAAGTACCTTTTTGGAAAATTACACACACATATAATTCAAACATACAAAAATGTAGCAAATAATAAAAATAATATAACACCGATGTACTCATCAGTAAAATTTGTCAAATCTTAACATTTTGCCACAATTTCTTTCCTTTTTATTTTTGAAGAAAATTTAGAAACACCACTGAAGTCCCTTGTGTACGTACTCTTCCTTGATTCTATTTACCTTGTTCCTGTCTTTATCTGAAGGAAATCTTTTCCCTCGATTTAAGTATTTATTATTTCTGTGCATGTAACTATGTATAAATAATATATGTTATTATTTGCATTTTTCTTTCTGCTTTTTCCCAAACAGCTTTTTTGAGATGTAATTGACATACAGTAAAGTACACAATTTGATAAGTTTTAACATATGCGTACACTGTGATACCATCACCCCAGTCAAGATAATGAATATATCTTTTGCCCCCCAGAAGTTTTCTCATACCCCTTTGTAACCCTCCTTCTTGCTTTTCCCTCCCACATCCCTCTGTATCCCTCCCCACTCTTTACACATGCACACACTCCCCTACCCCTAACCCCCAGTGCCCAAGCAACTACTAACTTGCTTTCTGTCAGTATACGTTAGTTTAGATTTCGTGCAATTTTATATAAGTAGATTCATGCAATATGCACTCCTGTTCGTTTGGGAGGTTGGGGCTGGCTTTCACTCTGCATAAATAATTTGGGGTTCATCCATGTTGTAATGTGTCTCAGTTTTTTTATTCCTTTTTATCACTGAGTAGGTATTCTGTTATATAGATATACCACAGTTTGTTTATCCTTTCATCTTTTGATGGATATTTGGGTTGTTTCTAGTTTTTTGGCTATTATAAACAAATCTGCTATGAACATTTGAGTTCAAGGCTTTTTATGGACAAAGGACTTTATTTCTCTTGGATAAATACCTATGAGTGGAATGACTAGATCATATAGTAGTTGTTATTCTTTAACTTTTTAAGAAATTGCCAAACTCTTTTCCAGAATGGATGTACCATTTTATATTCCCACCAGTTCTTTCATATCCTTGAAAACACTTGATATGGTTAATCTTTTTAATATTAGCCATTTGTAGTTAGTCTGTAGTGGTATCCCATTGTGATTTTAATTTTTTTTTGATTAATGATGTTTCCATTTTATTTTTAATTATTTTTGTTCCATTTTATCTTCTTTCCTGTCTTGCTGGCTATAACTCTTTGTTATTTTAGTGGTTGCCTTAGGGTTTATACAGCTTATTACAGTTTGTCTTTCAGTGATATTATACTGTTTCACATATGTTTAAGAACCTTACAATATATTCCTGTTTCTCCCTTCCCAATCTATATGCTATTGTTGTCAGATTTTTTTTATACTGTATGTTATATACTTTGTAATGTTTAAACAGTTGATTATCTTTTCAAAGAATTTAGATATTAAGGAGAAAAATCTTAATATATTTACCTATGTCATTTCCATTTCTGGTATGCTTAATGCTTTTGTGGAAATCCTTATTTCCATTTGGTATCATATTCCTTTTACCTGAAGACTTCATTTAACATTTCTTGGAGTATATAGTTCTGCTGGTATGAAGTCTTTCATCTTTCCTGTATTTGAAAAACCTTTATTTGGCCTTTATTTTTAAAAGGAATTTTGCTGTATATAGAATTCTACATTGACTTTTTTCTTTTAGTGCTTTAAATATGTTTAGCTATCTTTTTACTTGCTTTGTTTCCAATGAGAAATGGGTTTCATTCTTATCTTTGATCTTCTATATGTAATATGTCTCTTTGGTTGCTTTTATGATTTTCTCTTTATCATGTTTCTTGTGCTTTGAATTTGTTGAGCTT